AGCAATTACTTTGCTTATCAAAAATTTTGGTTGACTGAGTAGAGTAACAGGCACGGCACCCAGTCATGGTTTAGCAGTGGCAACGTTCAAGATGAGGGGACGAGGCTCAATGCTCGGCAGGAAGATTTCGAAACGGCTGAAATCTTATAAAAAAGTGCTTTTGCGGGAAAATCAATATGATAATCCTTTTACAAGGCAAACCGAACGCCAAGATGATCATTAAAAACAGCATCAATCGATCTAGCACTAATCAAAAGAACTGGAAAAGTTACTAGCTGCATAGCTGGAAAATAAAGCTGTAGCTTACTAAGACTTACAAATTCCGGCTTAATATTATATAATAAAGATGTAACAGTAGGTGAGGTACAAATCCTAGCAACTCCAAACAAAAGACACGCTGGACCATTCTGACTGCCTGAGTTCAGGCCAAACAAATCATTCGAGGCTTCATCAGTGGCTAGTAATGCAGTAATCCAGTTATGCAATGAATGCAAAGAAATAAAACGTGCTAAAGTATGCAGCACTGAGCAAAAATGAAATAAAAGGCTTAGTTCTCCTCATTTCACAGCAAAGGATCAACGATCAACAGTGACAAGATGCCCGAAATTTCGAGTATTCAAACGGTGCTGCCACTGGAGAACAAGACAACTGCCGGTCACTAAGGAGAAACGCACTCACAATCGATTTCCTTCAGAAAACTGACAGAGCATTATGTGAGAGATGGCCTCAGTGTATGTGAACACAGTGACACATCGAGCCTATCGCGAAGTTCGCAATCCATATACGCAAAAGAGTTAGAAAATCGGATATTTTGATTTCTGTGTACAATTTCAAAGCGATAATCGGCGAAGAGAAAAAAAAAATTCCGTGGATACTTCCCCATTTTATGGTGAAAAAAGCACAGAACCAAGTAAAATGAGAAAAATGCCACTCTGATGAAGTGAAGCAGCAAAAGCAACATGAAAACTGCAACTTCTCCGAAGTGTTGGAGCGTATGCATGCAGGCTA